CTCTCTCTCTCTACTCCTTTACAGTGTTTGAATGAGAATATAAAGAAACAGACAATGAGTGTGTGTTTGTGAAAGGGGGTTGGGGAGGGACGATGGAGCTATGCGCGTGTGAGTTTATGTCTATGTTCCTATTGGTATGTGTGTGTGTGTATGTATACATGGTATGTTTGTTTTAATGTAAGTGTATGCATGTTAACCCTCAAGCCACCATCGCTATGTGTACTGTCCTTCCCCACCTCCTACACTTTATCTCCTCTTTGTTTTCTTTCAACAACTCTGTATCCCTTATTTGTCCCTGTGGTGTTATGCACCCCGCATAATTTTGCAAAAATGAATCATTTTTTGCATAATTTCTGATTGTTTCCCTTTATCATTCTTTGTAAAAAAAAAAATTAACGAAATCGCATAATTTCACATTTTTTGGGCTCAGTTTGTATAATTACTGATTTTTCTTGCATAAAACGACGTGGACAGCCTTATCCCTCTAGCCCTGCCCACTTCCTAACTTCTCGCCCTTCCATTAGTCTAGAGCAGAGCAGCAACCTTTAGCTCCGCCCCCTTCATAACTTCTCGCCCTTCCATTGGTCTAGAGCAGAGCAACACCCTTTAGCACTGTCCTCTTCTTAAAAGCTTGTCGCCCTTCCGTTGGTCTAGAAGGGAGCAGTACCCTTTAACTCCGCCCCCTTCCTAACTTCTTGCCCTTCCATTGTTCTAGAGAGGAGCAGTACCGACAGCTGTGGGCGGAGGTGGAGTCTCTGGTCCGCGCATTCGCCGACACGTCAGAGCAGCACGCCAAGGTGCTGGACTGCGTCCTTGATTGCAAGAAACCGGGCGATGAAACTGTCGGTTCGACCCGGAAGTCGTCAGGGGTCAAACGAGATGAGGTCAAAGCTGGAGCCTTGTCTGAAGTGGAGCAGACGTGGCAGGATTTAGACCGGTTTGTTTATTATGGGCACTTTACATGAGGATGATGACATACATATATAAAAATATATACATTGTGATTAAAAAAGAATGCCCCAAAATCATCACACGATATTTCAAAAACGAAAAACAATAGAAAACCCCAGCGTGGACATATGTGTTGAACATACTTTCAAGTGTTTATTTCATGTCTAACAAGTGCTCAATGTGGCCACCACCAGCAGCACGGACAACATCAAGCTGATATGAAAATTCCTCCCAAACGTGCCTCAGAATGTCTCAGTCCACTGTGTTGATTGTAGCAGTTATTCAGTCTTTCATATCATTGATATTTGCTGGAAGTGGTGGAACATAAACTTTTTTCTTTAACTTTAAGATACACCAACAAAAAGAGGCTATCCACTTTACTGCATGCAGATTCGAATAATTTCATTTTTAAAGAAGATGGAGCACTGCCGCATTGGCATCTCTGGGTTCGAGCTTATCTGAATGAAAATGTGCCTGAACGAATGATTGGTAGGAGGGGTTCTAAAAACCTCGCTTTCTGCGCTTGGCCTGCCAAATCCCCGGACCTCATTGTGTGTGATTTTTTGTGTGGTATAACAGAGTGAGAGAGAGAGAGAGAGAGAGAGAGAGACAGAGAGAGAGAGAGAGAGAGAGAGAGAGAGAGAGAGAGAGAGAGAGAGAGAGATAAAG